CGGGCACACTGCGGTTCAACCTCGATCCGTTTGGCGAGAAGAGCGACGAGGCGATGTGGAGTGCCTTGGATGATGTGAAGCTAAAGAAATATGTGTCCAGTCTGGATGGAGGTCTGGCCTGTCGCATGCAGGATGGTGGCTCCAATTTCAGCATGGGCCAGCGGCAGCTGGTGTGCCTGGCCCGTGCCATTCTCCGACAGAATCGAGTTCTCGTTATGGATGAGGCAACGGCCAATGTGGACAGCGAGTAAGAAGCTTCTTTTCCCACTTTCCTGGGTTCTTGATTAACTTTTATTCCGTTTCCTTCCCCCTTAGGACGGATGGCCTGATCCAAGAGACAATTCAGACAAAGTTTGCCAAGTGCACAGTTCTTACCATTGCCCACAGACTGCACACTGTGATGGACAACGACAGCGTTCTGGTCATGGATGCTGGACAGATTGTTGAGTTCGGGGCACCACACAAGTTGCTACAGCGTCCCGGGAGTGCTCTGCTCAAGCTCGTCAGTCAAAATGATGCGCCCACCGTGAAGTATCTCAAGAGGATTGCCGCCGAAAGCTACATCCGCAGGAACAAAGATGGTTCTCTGCCAGAAGTCGATGAAAGATTGGTCGAATGAGCAATGAGGTGTCTACCAGGCAAAAGTGAAACTCCATCAAAGAGAAAGTCCGTCCGGCAGTTTAGAAATTGGACTGCCTGCCGTGCAGGGGCGGACAGTCCTTCCGTTTTATTGATGTACGAAAAAGTGTACGGATAAACTGTATGTACATAGCAGTAGAATTATGCTATTACTAATGATAGTTCGGCACTTAAAACGAAGAGACTCTGGACACACACGCACGCACACACAAGATTACAAAATATATATCGGGTATTTGGTATACAAACATACATACATGTATGTATATCATATGGTATATGGTGTATCAAAATTGTAAACTTGAAAGATAGCTTAGGATAATGGTTAACATTCCGGCTGGTTGAACGAATTCAATTTAAAATAACATTAGTGATACGACGACATGTACTATAATGGATAGGATAAAACTAGCATCAGATCAGCTCTGATACTCGCACACTCTCGAATGAACAATGCAATATGTACACAAAAACGGTGGCTATCAAAATGTTTAGTAATAAATAAGGTCAGACTACAACATCAACCGGCTCGGGGTCCGCCTCATGTTATTCGATGCGTATGCGCGTGGGGGATCTCCGCAGTGAGGCAAATTCCTTGACGACCAGTCGACCCAGTAACAGCATGGCAATTATGTCGGCTATGATCAGCATGTGAAAGACATTCTGCCAGCCTGTGGTGGAGATTAGGCCAGCCAGGAGTGGCCCCACAGCAGCACCAATTGAGCCAGTGCCATCTATGATGGCCGTCACAGTGGCCAGTGCGTTGGCATTGCCCTCCAAGGAGCTGTGCTGGCCCAGTTCTGCGCTCACCGATGTCGTTATCAATGCATAAGGGCCATTCACAAAGATGCCGACCACAATGAGCAGCAGCACGCTGATCGATACCGACAATGCGCCGTACTGTTGATACATCAGCAACTGAATGGAAATGAAACAAGTTACACGACTGAATGGGGCTGTTAATGCAGAGACTTACAATGGGTGAGGCTATGAAGAGCATGCCCGTGCAGATGGTGGCCGACATTCCAGTAAGATCGGATATGTAGCCCGCAGCTATGGCCCCGAATATGCCGCCCACATCGAAGAGCGTGGACAGATCAGCGGACAGCGTGGGACCCAATGTGCCTGTCATCATAAATACATTTATTAATTAACTTTTCCATTGACTGGAGGCAGTCTTTATACTCACTGGAAGACTGTATGTACAGGGGCAGCCAGTACATGAATGTGTAGCTGACCAGCTTGGTGAAGAACAAACACAAAGAGAACTCTACAACTCCGGGTATATACAGAGCATCGATGAGACTGATGGGACGACCGGAGCCGTGCTCCCTCTGATGGCTCTGCGAGTGAGAACTGGGCAAGATTGGTGTGCGCTCTGTTGGCGCTGATCTGTAGCTGATTTCCTGCAAAATAAAGAGCTATTAGACTTTTGATTGATTCGTGGTGATTCGTGGAACAAAGCGAGCAAACATTACAGAAGCCAACTGTCTAGCAGTCAATGTGGAAAGCAAACACTGAACATGCACTTACGGTTTCTGGCATGCCATACACAGCAGACCTGACCACCAACTACAGCCGAGCAAACACGCGAACATCGATACACTTAAGAAATTAAAATCACCAAACAAACAGCAACTATCCAAATGTGTGCCATTGGTATTCTACCTTGGAATATTTACTTACGGCAGCGTTGTGGCGCACCTGTTCCTCGTCGTCCTGCTCCTCGTCCGAGTCGTTGGTAACGCGACGCTCGTGCGGCACGCTGTCCGGATAGCAGCCCACAATCTCCGGCTGATCCACCAGGAACAGAAAGAGCAGAAAGCCAATAGCGCCAATGATTATGCCAGGCACCACAAACGACATGGCCCAATCGGTTTCCACATAGTGCGCCGCTATCAGGGTGCCCAATATGTTGCCAATGGACGTGTGACTGTTCCAAATGCCAAAGATGAGGCCGCGCTTAGATCTGCCAAACCAGCGGCCCACCAGCGTGACCACGCCCGGCCAGCCCGTGGTCTGAAATATGCCAGCACAAATCTGGATGAGGATAAAGTACCAGAGACTGTGTATGTTCGATGTGCGGGCAATGCCAAACATGTACGTGAAGACGCCAGTGAGGATCATGCCCATTGACAAGAAGTAGCGCAGGGATACGCGCTCGGCCACAAAACCAGACGCGAACATGGCAATGGCGTACGTGAAGAGAAATGCCGAGTCCAGCATGCCGAACAGTTTGGTGGCATCGGGTCCATCTGTGGATACAAATTCGAGTTATTCGGACACAAAGTACTTGCAAAAAACTTACCAAAAGGTGCATAGCCACAGTCCTGGCCTTCGTGTAGCTGAGCAGCCTGTGCAGATGAACAGTTTCCCTGCAGCACCGATTTGACCACCGAAATCGGCTTTCGGCACATGTGATAGCAGGCATAGGCAAGGAAAGTCAGCACAAAAATTGATACCTTGTAGCTGGAAAATAGAATTCGGGTAAACATTTGATGCTCTTCGGACAGCTGGGCATTCTACTTACAGCAAGTCTCGGCGTGCGTGCAGGCGGGGGCAGCATTGTCGCGACAATTTCTGCACTATCCGTATGCCGAAGGGTATGTCGTTGTAGTTGTTGCTCATTTTACGCGTTCGTCCGCCTCCCAGTGGTGGTCGCATTGACTGGCACAGGCGTTTGATGGAGAAGCAGCTGCACACGTCCAGCGAACAGGGCGACGTGATGGCTTCGTTCTAAAAAGCTACCTACAAAAATAAAGAGCGAACAATTCGCAGGCTGAAATCAACAGGTAGTTGGGTGACTCAAAGGCAGCTGTCGGGCAGGTAGAGTGGGTTGGTCACGGTTGGCTTTTGTGGTTTTCTCCGGAGGCCATAGAGTTTCAAGTGAACAGCGAGTTTGATATTGCTTTTATCGCAAAACGGAGCCTCACACATACATACACGAATGTATGTTGTTGTAGTTTTCTTTTTTGTTTACGTCGTCGTTTGGCCGCTCCACAAACATTCACTCAAGCAGTGACACCACGAGTCATTCTATATACATGTCTCCAGTATCGCAATTATAAAATGTGCTTCCGCTCGGTACACAAATTTTGCTGAGTTGGCGAATTTTAGAAGCGTTGTTAGCTAGAGTTCGATTTGTGTGTCTTTCCTGCGGGTCGCTGGAGTCTATTGTGTTTCTAGCAGATAACACACACTACAAAGTACAAGTACAGGCAAATTATCTTCTGCAGCATTATTATCTAACTGAATGTGTACGCTTGGCGACTGCATAGATTTATCTTGCACAATGGAAATTCTTAATACGAGGAGCACCAATAGTTTTTGTTATCTTTCTCACAGTTTCAGGGTATTCGTCGGCCGACATGCGACAAAAGGCGTTTTTTTTTGGGTTTGTTGACAGCACAGCCCCGAGACCGCTAACAGATTTTGCCTTTGATTGATAAGGCCACGTTCAAGATCTTAGATGGTCGTTACTAATATTTACCGTTGAATAAACATTAAACAAGTTGAAGCTGTGTATTTTACTTTGTTTATTAACTATCAGTGTGACCGCGGATTTATCGATAAAATATACCGCCTGACCCTCAGATATATACCGAAATAAGCTGTAAATATACTGATGAAAGTAATATTCCTCAATTTTGATATTCCATTGAAGATTACCAGCAAGATAGAAGCCCCAGCACTGAACATATAATTTTATAAGATTGTTTAACCAATTATCCACAAGAAAATATAAGTCTTAATTCTTGCTCTTGTTTAATTGTTGATAGAATTTGGTGGAAACAAAAAAGTGAGCAAAAATGTTTACTGTTTTGTCGGCACTGGTTGTCACCTTGCCATTCACACACGTGCAGCTACGAATTGATCGAAATTGTCCAAATTTCAGCTACTTATTTGAATTTAAAATAAAACAAAGTTTTCCTACTACTTAAAAACACTATAATATTGATATGGAATGTAAGTGGCACATTCTGTAATATTTGGAAATCACCACTCGCCATATGATTTACTTTTTCAATTAGACGCCGAGTCGGCTTACCGGGAATTACTGTTCCTGTGATCATGAGTTAATACTCATGCGATGAGACACGCGACCGGGCAAATGATTGGCAAATAAGTATTAGTCAGTGGGGAATATTGTTGACAATAACTGAGCTTAGGAAAACAAAGTGGCCTGTGTGCACAAGATCCGGCTTCCTCCAGTTTCGATTGAGAGCGGAAAATGGTCTTATTTTCAGCGCCAAAACGCTAATTTGTGCCGGGCACATTGCAGTGCAGCGAGCTTCAGATGTGAAAATCAAGGCGATAAATTAGAACTACTCGAGGTGATAATCACTGCTAGCGGAGCTGGGCAAAACATTTTGCCAATTGTAGGTATAAATTGCGATGCCAAGTCAACTGAAGCCACACATTACAAGCCACAGTCGTGCTAAAATCAGTTCAATTGTAATAGCACAGGCAAGACAAGCCCCGAAGCAGAAAACTCCCACACAAAAATGCTGTCAAAAAAGGTTAGTGGAGCCGCGTAAGCCTCAAAGTCGCATCCATTTAATGGAGATTAACCACACCAACAGCAAATCTTTCGGTTTATCGCCTGCTTCGCCGCTCTCAATATGGTGTGTGCCTATCCCCGAGACCATCCCACACCCACAGAGCAGATTCAAAGACTGAGTGCTGTCACAGAGGCGGAAACACAACCCATCATCTCCACCAGCGAAGCCCTCGACAATGTGTACCGATATGAGCGGACACTGAGCCGCCTGAGGAGAGCATTGGACGAGCTTGCCTACGAGGATGAGGCGAACGATGACATGGAGCTAGCAGAGATAAATGTGTTCCGCCCACTCTTCCGTTATCGTTCGCAGGTGGCGAGGCAAGTTGGAAATCCTCAGCAGCAGTTTGGATAAGCCTCACAAACCAATTTATAAGGTTTTACACATAGATGCAGCCTCATTTCGCATTTTCATTACTTTTTTTGTACAAATCGAACGTAAGAAATAAAAGAGTTAAGTAATTTATATTGTTAAACATTTAAATATTTATTTATTATATCTTTTTATACTCTATACACGGTAGAACCTATGCCAATATCTAGCATATATACACACACAAATCTATTTAGTGTCCATTATGTGTAATGGTAATATTATTGTTGTAGTTTTTCCTCTTCTTCCATGCTTCCACATCGTGCAAACATTTACAAATTTGCTGTTCGTGCCTGTCGCAGTGGATGACATTCAAATTCCATACATTGCAATGCATATTTAAGTGGGATTTACATACATCTATGGATCCCTGACATACATATATAAACATTTACACACACACACACACACACACAAATACGCATACATATTTGACTAAGGAAGACACAAAGAATATTGAATTTCTATATCTAGTATACGATGGACACCCATAAATGTTTACTATAATTATTTGTATAATCATTTCAAGCGCAATGAAGACAACTTTCTTATGATTCAAGACCCTGTAAGACTCCCCTTATAAATAAGAAACTCAAATTTATGCAACGTATATTCTGAGCTATACATATTTCTTACAGACAGCATTTGCTTAACAATTTATAAACATATTTTGGTATCGTTTGCTCGCATTCCGTGTAAATAGCATTCCATTCTGCTAGTCAGCTTATGAAAAATATTCCCTCTAACATGCTCATAGCTTAGAAAAGTTTATTAAAGTTGCTAGTTAAGTACAGTTAAGTATTGTAAGTACTATATATATTTGTTGTTCTTTGTTGCTGCTTCGCTTGGTTCCATTAAGTTGCTCTGCTTAAACTTCTATCTTCATAACCGATCCTTTGATTTTGATTAGCATTAAATTTGATTTAATTTTTGATTATCAGGCTTAGGCTTACAGCACGCATCGGAAATTGTAAATTGTTAATGCGATTTGTGGCTTATATCTGCCCAGGGGCGGGACAGAGAGGGCTGCTTCGATTTGCCTGCTTCGAACTATCGAAACCTGTTTACATATTGGATGATAAAGCCTTCTGCTTATGTAGGTTTACATCAATTTTTGTTTATGGCTTATAGCACTTGCAGATTCTCGCAGTGCTTGAACTTGGAGTCCTCCTTGCCCAGTATCCAGGTGAGCATCTGTCGAGCCTTCATGCTGGCCAGCATCACGCTGCGGCTCTTGTACCAATGTGCCGGCGAGCTGCCATCCCGATGGCCCTGTAAGTCAATTAAATGTTAGTTCTACAATTTCAACTTTATGCAAGGAAGCTGGTAAAGGGGTGGGGGGAGTGGCAAGCAAGGGGAATTCTTTGTGAACATTATTTTACATGTTCTTGCCACTCGATTGAATTGTTTTTTTTGGGTTTTTTGGTTGGCAGCCATTGAAGAGTTATTTTGCATTTTTCATGTGCTGGTTCTGGGTCTGGCTCAGGAGTTTAGGGGCACACACTAGATAATAAATAACACACAAACAAACAACAAACACAACAAACACACAAGAGAGCACAACAGTTTGGCAGTTGTCTAGGAGCTTGACTTGACACATTTCCTTGCTGGCAAATTTACAAAACTTTTGTGCTGTTTGTGGCTTTTGGCAAGATATCAGGAATGGGCAGGACAGGATATTCATATACATATATACGAGGAAATTTCAACCTAGATACTATATCATGCGTGTGGGGGTAGAGTTGGAGTTGGAGTTGGAGTTGGAAGAACTTGAAACGGGGCGGAGGTGGAGCTTCTGATTTACTTACCCCATCGTCGGCCTTAAGATCAGTCAGAAATTGATCAGTTTCTACAGTCTCTACGTTCTTGTTATCTTTAATTTTATATTTATCTTTTACTTTTTTTGGATTCAGCTGCGAAAGCGATCAATGGACATAGATTACATACAGAGATACATAGATACAAAAGTATTACACATGGAAGAAACCCTCAGAGAAGGCGATAGTTGGGGGGATAGTTGAGAATAGAACAGAAGAGTAGTAGTAGTACTAGATGGAGCAGATGAACAACCAACCAGCTAACTTTTACTGCAACCGATATACTGGATCTAGAGCTAGTTCTATCCATCAATGGGGGGTAGGGTGGGTTTTAGGGGGCTTTGGAGTGGGTCTAAAGAGTGATTTGTCCTTCCATGCATACCTGCAACATATTCTGGTCCTTCTTGAGGCGTATCTGTGTGAGGGTTCCGGCCAGCAGCTCGTCGCAATTGTGATTGATGCCCACCGAGACCTCGATAAACTTGGCTCCGAACGCACAGGCCAGACATTTGCCATCTGAGGAGCACAAATCAAGGATGCGGATGAGGACATGAAAGAGGCACTCCATGCATAACCATGATGCCCGGTCACGCCACTTAATTGACGATGCAAATGAATGCAATTGCCCGGAGGCTATAGCAGCCCTTGGGCTGTGCGCTGTGGGCTGTGGGCTGTGCCACTTGCCTGCTAATTGCTACTTACCCTGTGCAGAGACGGCGCGTGAGCGGGCCAAATCAATTTTGTTGGCCACCAGAATGATGGGGCGATGGCGGTGCAAGTCCATGTCCTGCAGTCGCGATAGTATCTGCTTGGCCCGCGTGAAGGACTCCTTGTCAATGCAAGAGTAGACCACCAGAAATGCATCCGCCTCCTCCAGGTCGTCCTGCAAAAAGCGAAAGAACGGAAGACGAAAGAGAATCCAAATTAAAACACAGAACTCAACAAGTTTACAACATTCTAAGAGCCCCTGGGTCGTTTCGTTCGCTTCTGCTGAAAATATTTAATGCCGTGTTTTATTGCAGTTAGCCGGAGTGAAATTAAAAGTTCCTAACTGCGAGGCAGTCGCCTCCGAGAGAAAGGAGGAGAGAGAGAGGGAGCTTCTCCAGCTGCTCCTTTTGCTCCTTGTATGCTTTTGTTAGCGCACTTTTTGCATTTTATGCTCGTAAAAATTAAAATTATGGCCACTTGGCAGCGACGAGTAACAAGCTGAGGGCAAAGAGGTTCGCCCCCCCCCCCGACTTGGCCAGACTTTTAATGATGTTCATTTTAAAAGGCTCGGGACCGGGATCGGTGCCGGTCACCTGCCATTAACAGGTCAGCCAGACTTAGGGCAGGAGCTGTTTGTGCCCGCAGTCTAATGAGCAGTATCAGAAGTAAGTCTTCATTCATTCAATACTGGATACCTCTCAATCGAACCTTTAGAAGACATTCTCCCGTCTCCAATCAACACTAAAATATGGATTACTTCGCATTACTTTAGGGCTCTATTTCGCATGTCTATTGTGGCCTGATGACGTTGGCAAGTTTCCTTTCTTTTTGGCGCTTTTCGGTTGGTGCCTTTTCGTCCTGGCTTCCGTTTGAGGCTCATAAAGCCACGCCAGGCACATCCGACATTTGTTCATTTTGCACCTCGCCGCTGGGTGCTGCCGCGGGGCGCACACGTTTGAAGTATGTTTCGCTGGAGCATGGGGTCGAGGTCAGACCTTAAGCAATTTGTTATTTGCCTTCCTTTTTTTGTTCAGCCAACTTTTTGGCAGCCATGCGCGGGCGGGCGCCTTTAATGCGGCTGCCGGCTCTGGTCTCTCGCATTCCAGAAATGTATAAATTGTGTCCGTTTCCTTTTGTTTTGTCAACGACTCGACATTGCAATCATCATCATCGCCATCATCAGGGTAATCGTCATCAGCGATTATAATTATCATCAACGCGCGTTCGTTTATATTGCCAGCAGCGCAGACAGGGGCCAGCATTTGGCATTTGTCCAGCAATTTGGCATTTCGATTGCACAGCCGCGCGCGCACTCTTATTGTATTTATTTGTATTATTTCTGGTGCTTTTTGCTGTCGCTTTTCTTCCCCTTTTCTTGCTCAGAGCGTTGCTGCTGCTGCGTGGCTGGATTTTAAATGAATTCCTTAAATGTTTGAAATGAAATAACCACCCAGAAGCATTCCCGGCACTTGTCCGTAATTAGTTGCAGTTCGGAAGCGGCTACTGGACTCTGTTGCGTGTCCACGCAATTCCAGAGCTCGTTTTGCATTTGTAATAAATTCACTTTGTGCAGTGCTCGTCCAGTTGGCAAATTACTCTCGGACCCTGGCGCAAATCTCAGCTGTGCTGTCCGAACGGACTCATTTGTCTTGCCGTCGGCAGTGACAGCCTGAGCCACAGGCACATCCCCAGTCGGTTTTGCGGTCCGAGTCCGAGTTAATGGTGAAATATTCAACGACAATTACAAACACAAATGGCTTAAGCTGTTGACTCTCTGCGTGCGTATGTGTGTGTGTGTGTGTCTAGGAGGGAGTGGAGGGGTTTGTGTTCTGTCCATTTGAGAAATGACTATTCACCTTGCTGTCCGGGTTGCCAGTGAGGAACTTGAGCTCCGACTCGGTGCCATTCAAGATGATGGAGATGTTCTGCTCAGCCTCATCGCACTCTGCAAAAGGGATAACGTACACTTGGTTGGATATCAATTGAGATTGAGTAATCGTCTTCCAACTACTGACCTGGCCCATCGTACGCATTGATGCAGTCCGAGGTGCGGAACTGGGAGACGAGCGCCTGCTTGCCGACGCCCGCTGATCCCAGCATCTCCACGCGATAGAACTCCACCGGCTGGTGGTTCTCCTGGGCGCTTTGTCCGTGTCCAAATCCATTGCTGCTGCTGCCGCCGCCATTGTAGGCGGAGCCCAGGCCCTGGCTGCTGCCACCGCCCACATGGCCGCCCAGACCGCCGACTCCGTTTCGGGCGTGCATGGGGCTGGATGGAGCCAGACTGTTGCTGCGCGAACGTCGACGTCGGAACGAGTCGCCGCGATTAATGATGCCTGGATGCGGGCGAGAGGACCAAGAGAGAACGAGATAGAGAATGAAAAACGAGTGGAAAATGTGCCAAAATACACGGGTAAAAACGTCACCCATTTCGTATTCCAAATGCATATTGTATTCCGGCATTGTTAGTCCGTCCACCTGCCGGAGTCGCGTACAACAGAGCAGGGCAGACAGGGCGTATGTGCAACGCGTGCAAAGCCAATGCCACGTAGCACAGGCAGAAATTACAGTTTCCTGCCACAAGGGCAGCACCAGCCACAATAGTAGTTAATCTGTCTTTTGTGTCTCGCATCTGTGGCTGTTGCAATACCATGTTAACCCACTCTCCATCTACCACAAAACACCCACCCGCCATCTGTCTGCCCCCCCTCTGCAGTTAGGTATTTTATTTACAATTGAAAATTTAAAATTAAAGCCCATGTTTCCTGCAGCAAAATGGTTGAACATAAACGTTGGACTCTTTCGAATATTTACACAGGAATATAAAATGAATATTTATCAGAAACGTTGCGCAAAAATGAAGCAATTAAAAAGTACAATGTATTTACAAAGTTTCAGGGATATTGTCCCCACTGCACCCTGATTAAAATATGGCAAAAATTGTCAAAAAGCATGAATATATTCCCGATAATCTGAAATTAAGCCATGCAACCATATGCTGGTCATTCCCGCACAGACAATGCCTATGGCTAGATATTACCCAACGAATGCCAAAAGTCAAAAACCTGCGGTCATTGTCAATTATAATCTCATGCCCCAGGCAAATGGCAATGGGTTAAGGAAATGTACAATGTATGTAAATATGTACATTTCTATGTATATGGTCTGGCACCAGGCTCTGTGCTGTTCGGATCGGATCTGCGCCGAGTTTATGTAAGTGTACGAGTGATTGTGTGTATTTATGTATGCTGTGTACATTTGAAATGTCATAAATAGATTTATGGCCCGCCTTATTGCATTCAGCCGTGAAACGAAGCAATATATGTACATATGTATGTAAAATGTATAGATCTTCATCAGAGATCTTTCACTAGTCTCTGGCAGTTCACTCGTTGCTCATCTGCGGTCGTTAATTGTGCAAAATTGAATTAATTACCAAAATGATTCTAAACATTTACACATTTCGTACGAAATTTTTAATTCATTTTCACTCCCTCTGCGGCCTGGGCGAGTCGTCATCATCATCATTGGAAAGCCATAAAACTGTTCGTTTTGGGTGTCCAAATATTGTACAGATTTTTGTTGCTGTATTTGGGAAAATTACGAGCCGGGATGCGGCGCGTGGGAAACAATTCATTTGGAAAAGGTGCAAACGGGCAGCGATAAAAATTGCGATTTAGTTTTATTTTCGTTCAAATATTTGTGCAATGTTCAATGTTTATTTTTAGCCTGCAGCCGGTAGAGACTGTAATTTAACTTGCCATTCTAGCTATTTCCATAATTCCAGCTGACTAATGTGTGCAATAATGTTCAGCATTTCTCCTACCATCCAAACAGCCAGCCATCCATCCATCTTGGGAATGTTTTACTCAACTTTCTCTTTGATGTTAGTTTTACCCACCTCCTCCTTGTATTTCTCTTTGTTTGAATAAAGAATAACCGTTTAAGCAAATAAACTGAACATTATATTTGTCGATTGATTTAGAGTGGGGCGAGTGTGGCACGAGATGTTGCATATGCTGCTGGAATACACATTCGTATTTCTATGATTAACCGCCTTCAAGGTTATAAATTGTCTAAACAAAAAGGAAAAACTCTCACTTCTATAAATACAGCAACGAATGCTGAGCATTTGGCCAAAAGCATTCGAGAATTGGCAACAGACACATTTGGCTTATAATCCATTCGATGCGATGGTGCATTATTCAATTATGATTCGATTTATAATACCCTCCCCATGGCCACACACTGGAGCGTACCACAAGGAGGACACTCGGGACCATTGTCTGGTGGGCTGGGTGGGAATTTGTAAATGAAAATTTCATTTATGGTGCTTCATTGGCTGCCATCGGTGACTGACACTCGCTTGGGCGTTTCAATTTATCCAACAGAAACAGCATCAATGTCGGGGCCTTCTCCACTTTGCATTTACCACGCATCCGAACCTTAAACATACTCGTAATTGATGAATGATGGCTAGAGCTACAACTTTCGGCTCTCTCCTTTTGGTTTAGTCCAACATCTCGAGCGTATTAACTTTAATTAAATGAGCGCACATGACTCGGATATGGCAAAACCGCAAGACAGCTTCCCCTGACAATTTAGTTGAGCAAACACAGACACTTCATTGAATTTTAATATGCAATGCGTTTCCCGTTTCCCGTTCCCAGCTCCTGCTCATCCCTGACAGTTGCCTGGGGAATAAAGGGAAATAGCCGACACAGCAGAGTGAAATGCTGATACCCTTTCGATGGGAAGACGGCAGGCACACTCAAGATCACTGTCAATGGTTGTTCCCCTGACATGCATGCAAAATGGGACGCTGTCTGCCGCTCGACTCTTGTTATCATATTTCATGCAGTTCCCAGGGATTTTCTTTTGCCTCATGACTTAGTTATGACACCTTCTGTAGCTAAGACGTGGACATGTCGTCTGTTTGCTGTCATGTCAGTTCAAGTGCTTGGATGGCTCCCCATTCAGAGCTCTGGTGCTTCGTGCTCGATTCTGGCAGTTCGTGTTGTGAGCCTGTCTGGGTGGGCTTAAACACGTACTTAAGGTCTGCTCCATGCATTTGTGCATGCAAAAACTCCTTGGAGTGGGGAGGAAACTAACTGCCTGCCACAGAGTGGGCACCATAGCGACCAATGCTGAGGCTCAGCTCTTAGCTCAGCTCAAACTGAAGTTGAAAACTTTAGCAATTTGATTTTTGCAGCAATTCCGACAACTTTGATGGAATGCATTTGTTTGTTATCAGCTCTAATCCGATTATTTTGTGTAACTATATTTACTCAGTAGTTAATGACATTTTCAAAACTCATTTGACCTTTTGTGGGGGGCAGACATAATTGAAATAATTAGCAGGTGGATTTTGGAAGCATGAGCCAAGCGCTGCCCTCTGTGTCCTTAAAGTTTCCCTACCATAACTATGCCATGCCTTTAAGAGCAAACTTTACACAATCGTTAGGCGTTGGGCCCACGGTGCGTATGTGTAATAATAACGTGACACAAATATAGAATACAAAAGGCACGAGAAAAGGAAAAGCACAAACAGGGACACAGACACATACACAAATAATGGGGGAAAACTACACATGTCTGTGCCGTGTATGTGTGAGTGCGTTTGCATATGTATGGGGTGTGTGTGTGGGTGTGCCTTGGGGTATTCATATTCTATTTGGAGTGGCATTTAGTGCCACTGATATCTCCTTAACATCATTGTGTAACAACCTTTTAAGATTTCAATAGGGATTGCGAGGCTGCGTGTCTGGGAGCAAAACTATAATTTTATGCCTTCTGGCATACAGGCATATCCTGTTCCCTGGTTCCCCTAAGCCTGAGACCCAGAACCAGCTGTCCTGTTTGCATTGTTGGGATCATGTGTAATCCCAGTCATCTGGTGTGTGCCCCAAGGCTTTTGTGGACTTTCAATTTCGAAATTAATAAAATGGTCCACCGAGACCTTTGTCGAGGAGCCCCCCCCCCTGGCATCTTACAGTCCCTGTCTTGGTCTTCCACTCACCTCCTTTGGATGCGCTGAATGTGCGCAGTCTGTCCACATCCTCGTCGTCATCGTTGACGCGCAGGTGATGCATGTTCATGGTGGGCACGTCCAGGAAGGCGTTCGATTTTCTGTGCCCTGCAATCACAATCACAAAAACGGGGAAATTAAATTAAGCAAAACAACTTGTTTACACATTAAATTGCATTAACTATTTGCAGCTAATTAATTGCATGCAGCTGTGCCGTTTTGTGCCCACATACTTAAGTGGGAGAGCGCCTGAGTGTGGCCCTTAGGTGGCAGGAGGAAACGGAAGCGTTGCACAGTTTGCCGCTCGGCCCAAACTGGGTCAACAATGGGGGTTCAATGACCTAGCAGTGGCGGCCGCAACGCTAATTGAATTCACGTCATTGGCCAGCACTACGAGTACACATAAGTAGCGAGCGGAAGGCCTGAAGTCCCTGAACCGTGAAACCGTGTGAACGTGAATGTAGTCCAAAATTGGCCAATATTTGCAGCTGTGTGACGAACTTAAAGTCCTTTGGCCACCCGCTGTTTCAGCTGTTCAGCCACTAAACCATTTATGGTCAATTTTTCAATGGTGTCGTGCGGCGACCAATTTGGCTGAGAGCTTCGTTTATGCCGCATAAACCGTCAGAGCCCGGCACTTGGCTAATTTGTTGCACAGCTTTTTGATGGCTCTGTTTAGCCATTAAAGGGACTACAACTACACCAACTGCGACTACACCAAATAATATATTTCGCACTCACCGTGTGGCTGGGGCCGACGTTGCGAGAGCTTGCGTCGCTGCGGTGGCGTCTCTGTCTCGCTGAGACGCGGCTCGCTGTTGCAATAGGATCGCGTCTCCTGGAGCGTGTGCTGCTGTTGCTGCTGCTGCTGCTGTGCCTTGGTGCGCTGGCGAACCTGCAAAAAGCAAAGGGAACTCTGTTAAACAACTTAACCGGGAAAATCCATGCCATCCATCCATCCATCTCTCTATCTCTATCCATTCATCTATCCAAATGTCGAAGGCAAATCGCTTAGATCCCTAAGGCAAAATCCGTTTGATTTATGGACTGCAGCAGGATGTGCCAGTGACCTTGTCACTGACTGACTGAGGGAGAAATTAAATTGCATTTCTCTCAACTTCTCTCAACTCAAATCAAATTGCATTTGCTTGTCCTCTGTGGGACAACATCTAGCCCCGGGCAGGTCCCCTCGCACTTTTGCCATAATTTATCGGCTGACCTGCCACTTGGCACAGCCTCGAAGCGACTATTGGCGGCGCCTATGACTGTGGTCGTCTGTGATCAGAGCCCTTCAAGGGATTTCCACACAAATGTCAAGGTTAAACGCTCTGAATGAGGGCGGTCCGGCACCACTCGAGTTGCAATCAGCCTCGCACTTGTTTCGCACGCCTCAAAAGTTGTTCCTCCCCAAAAGTTCATTCAAGGAACCTCCAAGTCCAAGTGCTTGTCACGTTGACTGCCACGGCAGTGGTCGGAAACGTGCCTCCGTCCCGCACAAAATTGTGTCAGTTGTTCTCGGGGTGTGAGCGAAAACTAATTTCAGCACCTGTCCGACAGCCCCCGACCAGCTTCTTGGTGCGCTGTTTCTTTGCGGTCCAGCATGAGGGGTACCTCGGTGGAGGAATATATTTATAACCGCATGCAAAATGTCCAACTTTGTTACCTGCTTCCGGCTTCCTTGGCTCCAACCACAACACACACACACACACATCATTCCCTTGCCCTACGCTTTGCACGTTGAATTGTGGAAATGCCGGAAGCGTTTGTTACGTGGCGCTGCCTGTCAAGTGGCCATGGATTTGGGGCACGTCGAGAGTTTAGTCAGGCGGAGCTGGCAAAAGCCGACAAATCCACACAAAGAGGGTGGAGAGTGGAGAGTAAACTTTGGATGGTGGCTGGGCCATTAGCCGAGCTGTCAGTGTAAACGTTTCTTGTTTATTTAGTGGCCGCTCTTTGCGCTTTTTATGGTCAAGGCGCGGACTGCCGGACTGCCACAAATACACTTAAGTACATACATCGTACAGTTATTTTACTTACATTTCATGGTGGTGGCTCTCGTGACCAGAAATTGCTCTTCTTTTTCCGCCATGCTCTACTTTTGTGGCTTAATCAAATATTACTGCCCACCCGCCCATGCCAGGCAAACATACGAGTATAAGCACGAGGACGAGGAGCACTATCAAATGTATCTATGTATCTTGTGGTTGGTGTGTGTGTGTGTCTGCTGATCCATTCGGATGCAGCTTGTCCACGCTCGGATGGCGTCTCGCCTTCTTGTTCTTGGAAATTAATTGCTTCCTGCATTCATTCATTCATTGCTACGAGTCTCGTCGTGTCTTCAATTTGTGCCCCATCTAATCCCCAATTAGTCCTTTGCCAAAGAACTGATAATTTATTCTTTTAATTGCCGCCATTTGAAGATGGTGGCTCGCTGGTTAATAATAAATTGTTGTGGCTCGTTTCTGTTTACATATTTTACTCTTTAGCTGCAATTTTTAGCTGCAATTTTTCTAAACAAAAACTTAAGTTCAAAGCAAAATGTCATTCGCTAGACGACTGGCTGAGTTCTTTAGTCGATTTACTTGTGGATTGTTCTTTCAAAAGTTCAACGCTCAATAGCTTTGGAATCTCTGTGCTCTTCTCTGTTTAAGTTTTAGTTGTCGTTTGCCGCTGTATCATCTCATTACACTTTGTCCGTCTGTGGATGGAAAGCGAGTACTGTGCTATGCCCCAACTTATCAGCACCAACATCGACAAAAGTTTCTCCTGAATTCGTCAGAGGAATGGCTTTCTGTTTTCTCTGTGTGTGTGTTTGGTTCTTCATAAACAAAAGTAATTTGGTGCGCAGTCTTTGCTGATTTTCCTGGTAGCTGCGAACTCATTACAGCCACGCCCACAGCAAACAGAGGAACGCCTTTATGCTGCGCAAGTTGTGGCAGGAACAGTTGCAGGAGACAGGAGACAGGAGCGAGCAGCCAGCAGTAGAGGCGGTAGCTGGAGCAGAAGCTGAAAACGTGGAGCATGTGTGGCAGCAGCATCATCGCTGACTTGTAAACTTTTTTTCTATTTAAATTACCAGCTTGGGGCGCATCAGAAGCGATGGAAGCGACATTTTTAGCACGGACTTTGATGCGATGGCGGCACACATTGCACAAGCGTTGCTTTTTGTTGCCTCGTTTGCTTACTATATTAAAGAGGAGGATGGGAGCAACGCTCATACGCAACGTATGCCACGTGGCGGTGCTTTTTGTCTGGCAGCAACAGAAATTGAATTTGGCCACGATATAATTCAATTCACACTCTCGCTTGCTTGCCGAGAGAATGTGTATAGCGAAGGGAGCAGCAAGCAGCCTTTGGATTCAATGTAACTTCAATCCAGTCGGATAGACTGAAATCCCCCCCACCGGCCAGCATATGACAAACAAAAATGGAGCACGAAGGAAGGACTCCACATACGATAACCATTCCGGTGAGTACGTATACCCAGTTGCAACTCACCGCCACCGTGAGCGGCGTGAATGTGGCACTGAGCAAGTTGGTCGCCGCCGAGGAGGGGAGCGTGGAGGGAAGAGTGCTGAGTATTTTGTTGTCGCTGGAGAAGAAGTATCGCTACATCTATGACACCTTTAAGAAGGAGATGGAACTGCAGCGAATAGCTGCCTCAACGCTGTGGGAACTCATTCAGCGCTACAGAATCGCCATGGATGTGGACGTGAGCTGCAAGTGCGCGCAGCTGTATGCCGTGGAGCCGTCGGAGGAGATCGTGCAGAAGTACTTCATCCACTACCAGGTTATCATACGCTCCAACAAGAGCCAGTGGTGGGGCATTGAGTCCATGCGGTCGTATGTCCTCACCTTCCGGCGCGAGTGCAGCAAACTGGATCTCGAGGAGGAGACGCCCTTCATTCTGGGCGATGCCTTTCACAAGCCCATCCGTTTCTTCATCGATCTGGTGGACGATCTGTTCGATTACTTCTTCAGCATGCATCTGAAGCTGGACTGCGCCGCACGGCAGCTGGATCCCATGGATCTGGACAGTCTGGAGCACTACCAGCAGCTGCTGCAGCCCAACGAGGACTTTAAGGAGTATTTCATGTTCAATCTCAGCTACTGCCAGTGTCTCCGCATGCCGCCCAAGTGCCCGGAGACGCGTGTGTACACCTCCATCAGCCACAAATCAGCTGCCAAAAAGGAGGCCATGGAGCAAGCAAAGCGTCTACGTTGTGACCAACGACTGTCCAGGATGTCGGCCAGGTCCTGTCAGCCCAGAGACTCCATGGAAACGCCAGAGACACCTGAACCCGTGGCAGACCCCGTCGCTGAGGCTGGCAAACTGCACTCCATTCCGCTCAGCACGCAGTTCGAGGATCAGCTAATAAGCGAGCGCCACACTCGTCTGCTGGTCCATCAAGTGCAAAAGGCTATCGTCAGTCCTAGAGATTGATTTACTTATACAATTCCCATTTAAAAATGTTCACATCATCACCGCTACAATCCTTAACTACAAGCCTCAATGGGTAACATCTTTCGGGGGCAATATATAAACCCATTTGCCTTGCACCTAATCCGTTTTATCATTGCAAAAGACCACTGAAAGTTGCCTGTTTCTCAATTAGATTTCATTAAATTACTTGTACGAGTCTCTTAAATGCTTAACACATTCCATTTGATCCCTGTTCTGGTCTGTGAAATGTTTTCATTGCAGCTTTGCAGTTGTGGCTCTTGCCACTGCTGCTCCTCTGTTTATTCGAGAACCAGATGACAATGCTCTATAAACTCACACATAAATATGTGGAAGACATTCGTGAAGTGAGAAACGTGCAGCTACTTAAATATGTTTATTTAACTATATATTAAATCAGTTCATGTCCCACGTATATGCGCATGTTCGTGGCAAACATTCTGCAAACAACACAAGAAGAAGCGAGTGACAGGCAAAAGCAAATGCTAAATTTACGTACGCTGTGGAGGTATCTATGTTTCTACCATGTATTATATGACTATCTACTATTTGTGTACTCACCGATCTGGCACCCGACGTGATGCGAGCACTTTGGGAGCGTGTGGCCGGCCGGCGTCGACGGTAGCCGGGTGTGCCGCCCTCGGGCGTGGCACTGCCCGAGGCTGTGGGCAGGCCATGGATGACCGTCTCGATGCTGGCCCCCGTGGCGCAAATGGAGGCGCTGCGTGTCTTCTTCTGCATGCGATGGTGCATGGGGGAAATGTCGTCGACCATCTTGGCTATTGTTTGCTGAGGCTTTTCCCAGGCGAAATTTCTGTGTTGTGCTCGTGTCGCTTATGCCTTTCGCCTTTCGGTTGTGTTTTTAAATCCTAATTTGCCAAATCTAGAATTTTCTATATTTGTGCTCTAAGCATTTCGTGGTGTTTCGTGCTGTGGTTCTGCTTGTTCTGGCTTGATGTTTTCTGATGTTCTTGATGTTGTCTGTTCTTTATTTTTTGCTGTTGCATGTCTCATAATCTGAGATTTGGATGGTGGATTTTGTGATGATTATTGTTCTACTTGTTTTTGTGGTGCTCTGCAAATAAATGGTGAAAAGCGCACAACGAATGAACAAAACGTTGAAATCAAATTTCAAATCAAATCTAAACATTTCTCAAATAGTTTCGCAGCTCGCTCCTGGCTGAAATGTTTACAGAAATAACCCGAAAAACCAAAACCGAAAATCGCTGAAAACTGAAAACAGAAAACAGAAAACTGAAAAAAGCAAAAAGCAAAAAGTGGCACTGACTACAGAAATATTTGTATTTATGTGCGAGTATTTGTAACAACATGCAACATAATTTGCTACGTGATTTTTCATTTCACAGCGACTGGCCGCTATTAAAACATGAGCAGAGATTTTGCCGCTGCCCAGAGCATAGTCAGAGCCAGAGCCAGATTCGTGTTATTTTCGTCCCATGGAAACTGGGTCAGCCAGTCAGCCAGCCATCCAAGCACTCGCCCTCGTAGTGGACGTCGGGGCCCAACAAATTGCCACAAACAAATCTAAAATCCATCAAAGGGGTTCAACCGTTTCGGGAATTCGATTTGTTGTAGAAGATTTGGCCAAGGGATAACCTGGCAGTGATATATGCTTAGATTTACGAATGTCTGGCTTTGATTTAGTTATTCATTTTGTGCGAATTTAAATGAATATGTTTTAAAGTTTATATTTCCTGATGTCTTCGGACCTCTTCCACCTGTGCGTGCTATCGGCACCACTTGATCTCTCTCTCTGAAGTGGCTGCTTTGGTTAATCTCACGTAGTTCTTTCTCATAAACTAAAAATACTTTTATCTAGACCTTGCATCATCTTCGTTTTGATTTCCCCATGCCTAGCGTAAATAAACTTTGATTTGGAATGCCAGAAAATGTGGCAACTTTCTGCTGGTATCTGCTGGTGTTTGCAGAGCTCCTAGTAGATGCTTCCACTACATTTCATTCCGCAGCAGAGACTGCAGTCCCTAATTGACATTAATTTCCATTTGCATGAGAGAAGCAGCAGCCTGAGGCAATGGAGGATCCGCAGGCGAATTTAATTCAACTTCTTGGCGGACCCTAAGCCATGGCTTAGAAGGCAAAATTAAATTGAATTTGCCCCAAGGGTCGGACAAAAAAAAACCCTCTAGAGTGGCGTGGAATCGGATCTGCCCCTGACAGGACGGCAGGGCATTGGGCCAATCAAAGCATATTTGTAATCCATTTAGTCATCCTGCGCGCTACTTAGACATGCATCATTTGCTTCTGCCCCAGCCCACATTCTGCCTGCCCCTGTGGCATAATCTAATCAGGCCTCTGCCCCTCTCTCTCTCTCTCTCTCTCTCTCTCTCTCTCTGTGGGCATTTGGGTGCAGCTTAGAACGATTTGCCTTGGTCTGTCGCCTGCTGGTGACGTGAAGAACTTGCAGATTTGCTTGGGCAACCCTTGCAGCACGTTTCTCAAGCTCCGTGGAGCTCAATTAACTTTTGTGAATGATTGCAGCATAAATAATTAATAACGCGCATTATTTTCTCCCACAGCCGTTGACACCCTTGCTGGGGGGTCGGTGAAGATTTCTCTTGCGAAAGGCTTACGAGAGCAAAGCGAAAAGCATCTTCTGCTGGCCGAAACAATGGAATTGGGCCAAGTCCCCCTTGAAAGTAAATAATGCAAAAGGAAAAAGGAAGGAAGAATGAATACATAAACTGGAAAAATGTTTCACGCGGCCCCCCCGACCCACATATGCGAAGACAGCTTGCGCCCTGCACTGGCAGAAAAGACTTGCTCGTTAGAGTTTTCGCCAGAGGAGGAGGAAGAGGATGCTGGGGAACCTTCTGCTGTCAGTCACACGTGAAGTCAAGTCCCCGAAAACGACTGATTAAGCAGAAATCTTTCCCCTACTTTGACTTTAACCAGCTTAAAGGCAACCAAGAATCCTTGGGGAAAGGAAAAGGCAAACTTTCCATGCGACTTTACGCTTGATTTGCCACCGTTTTGTTAAGCGATGCATTACCAAGGCCCCACAGCGTAGACTAGAGGAGGAAAATGCCGAAAAAATAACCGGAAAAAAGGGTACTGCTGACCCATCCAGTCGTGCATGAAACTTCATGCCACATGATGATGAAGTTGTCGTTGTCCTGGCCTGTACCTCTTTGTGGACGGGGTCTGAGTGTTGTCCTACCTCGCCTTGTTTGCATTCAATTGATGCCGCAGGGCTTGAGCCAACACAACAGAAGCAGCAGCAATCGCAGTATCCTTAGATCCTCGTGTGTGGCTCCCTTCTAATTGGCCATAGGACGTCCAGGCACACACACACCAGGCCAACAGTGAAAGTAGGAATCTAGGAATCCCAGTGGCATGTTGTCTTTGGACACTGCAATTAATGTTCACAGGTATTTTTATGGCCCAAGTACTATATTAGTATCCAATGAGACAGCCAGAGGTCATGCCATTTTATGGCCTCATATGTGGTGAAGTTTTTCCCACATTTTCCGCCCCAATTTCCACCCTGTTATCATTGGTTGTCTGTTGCTAGTTATTAACAGAAATTCGACGCTCAATTGTTGTTTTGCTTGAATTTTGTTTGTCACAGCTTTTGTTTTTGCGTCGGAGTGCCAGCCAGTTAATCAGGCCATCCATTCGATGTGCTCTTACATGTCCCTGTACGCAGATGATGACAGCTGTGCCCGGTTCCAGGCAACTTAGGCTATCGCAGAAATGTGGCCTAAAGTGCGTTGGATTGCCAGGGGTTCCCGATAAACCTCCCACCACACGGGGCCCAGGCACAGGCATAGGCACAGGCACAACAACAATCCCGATAAAGTGTCAACAGATACCGCATGGACGAGGTACAGCCGGTGTGGCCTGATGGTCTCTGAATGGAATCCGCATGAGAGGGGGTGCGGATGGTGAGGCAGCGTATTCAATGGCAAACAAAAAGAGGAAAAACTGGGGTGTGGACACCGGTGAAGAGGTCGTTGATTGAATTGATTTAAATGGACAGAAAAAAGAGTCCAACCCCTCAGCTCAGTTTTCATTCAATGTTTAAAAAAGATTTTTGTTTGACCAAAAAAATACGCAAATTATGTAGACTTTGCTTTTGTTTCCATTGACAGAGACATTCAATACAGTTTATAAGTTTCCGCAAGAATATCTGATATCAAAAGATCAAGCAAGAAACTATGGATATTTGTGTGATTCTTAAAGTTTTTAGTTCTGTTAAGGAAAATTGATCTGACAAATGTTTGTGTATCATGAATCTGTCCGTTAAAGGCCAGCTACGACTGAAAACGAGGTAGGGATGCTCCCAGCGATCATTCTTCTGTCTACAAAGGAATTACTAGACATTATGACAGGTTAAGCACTTGTTTCTCAACAGGATTCAATCTTCTTCCTGCCCGTTAAAGCATTTTCTCTGCCTTTCCGGCAGTTAAAGCATTTGTTTCCAGGCTACGTTTCAGCTTTATGATCATTAAATCTGACCTGCCGCCCCCGGCACCGCCTTCAATGTGTGTTTCAGTTGTTTTTCAGTGCCCGTGGCTGGCTGCCTTTGAACATGTCCTTGACCATGTGCCCATGTTCATGGACATGTTTCTGCCTCCATATCCATGGGCGCTGCTCATGTGACAGTAGATGTCGTTGTCATTGGATGTGGAGGAAGGCGTTTGTTTAAGGTTTTCCCTTTGAACATCATCCGTGTGGCAATTTGTTTATTTTCATGGCCATGGCCATGTCAGCCGCCGCCGCACAAACACGCACACACACACGCGCACACGCGCACACCTGTTGCAGTTAAATTAAAGTGTGCCACAGGTTGCTTTAAGGTCAGGTCTTCAGAGACTCCCCTCCACCGTCTTCTCTGTGGGGAACACTTGCTTGCTGCTGCCCAAGTTCTGCTTGTAGTTCCCATCATAATCATCCTGTTTTACCCGCCACACAGCAAGCTGTACAGCGTGTCAACCTAAACGAGCTCTAAATGAAAATGACAGGTTTTTATTACGCATACGCCACGTTGTCTTTGAGGCGGCCATAACATATAATGGGCCAACGTGAAATGAGGCTTCGTGCTGTTTTGCTTTTCCCTTCTCTGTCCTCTCGAATGAAAACAAATTTCAAATGATTAAATAAATTATTTTGCATTTTTCTCAGACAAGCAGACAGTCAGCGTCTCAAGAATTTTTATATAGAGCAAAATGTTTTTCAAATATTTGTGCGACTCATGATGAAATTCGCTTGTTAGGGCAGATCAACAATCTATATATATATATTTTTTTTTTATAGCATTTTAGTTGATCTCTTTGGTGGAAAATCACTTGACAAAGTGTGTGTTGGATTTTCCATATGTTTGACATAATTTATCGTGGAATTAGTATGAAAAAAAGTCCACTGTTTGCTTGCTGAACATATTCGTACCTCCTGGACTTTGTTTGTTTGTTTAATGTTCAATAAATCGATGATAATATGCTTGCCAGGAGAAACAGAAAGAGCCCAAGGGGGGTGTATGGAGTGGGGAGACTCGAACGTGGCAAATCTGTTGTGGAATTTATTTTTGTGAAAGATTTTCCAAACCGTTGCACAAAATCGAGCTCAAGGGCAGATTATAGGGCTTAATGCTTTTCTCTGTCTTTCTCAGTCGCTGCCTTTCTCCCTCTTTCTGCCTCCCCTTTCCTTTTGGATGGAGAAATGGCGGGAAAATGCTTGTCTGTTTAGTTTAAACTTCACGTCTCTTGCGATGATTATGACACACAAACATATGTGGGATGGTGGGTGTATGTCCCGTGCCCTCTCCCCCCTCTCTCTCCCTCTGTGTATTGGCGTGTGCTCCACCTTTTGGCGGCTGTTTACTCCCAGTGCGCCGCGTTGGGGGCCTCTTATTCTCAATTTAGATTCAAATCAACGCAAAGTCGACAAGAGCCATCGGGCGCAGATGTTTACACAAAAATTCACTTCATTTAGTTAGTGTCAGGATAAATAAAGCTCCTGCTGCCACCCCGTTGGCCCCCGCATTTCGCTTTGATGTGATGTGACTGCCTCTGTGGCACTTTGTGCCACATCATAATTAACTATCGAAGGAATGTCATATGGCATTCGGGTATATTGTCTCTTTGGCAGCACCAATTTGGCCTCAAAATAAATTGAGGAAATTTACGATTTTCCTTTGTCCTTCCACCGCACCCCTCAATGGATTCACTCTCTAATTGGCCTGCATTTGATTTCACAAGCTCGTTTCGGGCTTTGTTCGATTTTTTATTCGGGAATTCAGGAATTGGATTTTCTGCTGTTGGAATTTGATTCTTCTTTTGTTAGATCTGCCCGTTAAGTGAGCTGTTAAGCGAGGAAGATTGACTTGAATATAATTAAAAGAGGGGAAAAAGTGGCAATTTATTACAGAATTTACGGCCTAAAAGCCAATACCTCTACCTCTGCCAGGTGTTTGCATTGTTCTCCCACTCTGAGCGCTGAGCTAGCTCTTCCCTTATGCTGGAATGAAAGCACTTTGCTGATTCCCCGGACGTGTTTGGCTATTTGAATGCACATTGCTGACCAATTATGCCCAAAGGATGGGCACATGCTGCAGCAAAGATTCTGATTCTGTAGTGTCCATCAAACAGAGCTGCGTCCGAAAGGTACAAAAGGCACACCAGTGCAGTGGGAAAATGGGAAAATGACTGAAAAGTTGTGCCAACAGTGAATTTATTTACATTTGAATAGTTTGTTTGTTTGGTTTGCTTTTTGCGTTTTGGTTTTGGGTTTCCGTTCGGTTTGGACTGCTGGCAGCTCTTTAAGTGTGTGCATAAATATTATCGTTAGTTTCGGTGTCTGCTGTGTGCAGGACTGGGGCGCCGGATATGTGCTCCACTTCACTGCTATGCACTGCACTGCCCCTACACACCGCTCCACTGACAGCCACTCCACTCTCCAGTCTCCAGTCTCGAGTGTAAAGTCCCAATTGTCACTGGCAGTGGGCTCTGTCACGTTCTGGCCCGGTCTGCATCCTCCCTTGGCCAAACATTGTTGGCTCAAAGGCACAGAACACGAGGCTTGTCATGTTCTACGCGTCCCCAGGTTGGTGTGAGTAGAGGGGGTCGACAGTGTGTCAACTACAAGAAATATTTTTTTCGGGCTTAAGTGGTGGGGTGCAGGACCGAGCTCAACCTTTTGACATGTCAGCGCCCCCATCGCTGTGGGTTCCAGCCCCATGCTACTGTGTTGTCTACTCCCATCCTGTTTCTGTTCATCCAATACCCATCCTCCCACTGCTCTTCTCTTGACAACCAACAACCAGGAAGTGGCTTTTGCCTCTCCTGGTGGCTCCTGGTGCTTCACCCTCTGGTTTCGTTGCAGATTTTAATTGAATTTAGAATTTTCGTTGGCTGCAGCACAAAGGCCAATCTGGCCAATCCAATTCGCCAGCTGAAAGCCAGCTACGAATTTGGTTATGACCGGAGCAGACTCCCTCTAAGAGTCCCACCGTCTTTCAAAACTCTAATGGAATTTACCTGAAAATTTAGTTGCCATAGGTGCACCCATGCCCTCTTCCCTTTGCCCCGTCTCGAGCTCTCAGAGAGAGTGCATGTTTGGGTGTGCGTGGAGGGGGCGTGGTCCCAAAGTCGCGTGTCGAAGGGCGGCCCAGACGCGTCGAGACATTTTAGTTTAATTGGCAAACAGGAAAACAATTGCAGGGACAGCTAGAGTGCGGGGCCGAGTGGGTGGGAGAGTTGGTAAAATCAGTGGATTGAAAGCCAAGTGCCGCACTGCAGCAAAAACATTTTCCCCATTTTCATTCCCATTTTCATTTCCATTGCTTTGGCTGCTTTTGGTGTTGTTATGGGTGGATTGTAGTGGTATTAAAAGGGACTTCCGTTGTCTATCTGGGGGCATGTCCTCTCCTGATTAGGCAACAGATCGCTGGGGAATTGCTGTGGCGATTTGTATCGCTCCTGATTGCCAGCCAGCACTGACTGACTGGCTCCCTTTGTCCGCACTGCAAAGTGCCATTTGATATTATCTTCTTTGGTCTTGCCATAATGGTTCATCCGGCAAAATGTCAGCCGCAGTTGTACCAATTAGTGTGAAATTTGTTTCTGACAATTACAGGAGAATTTTTATGCTCAAAGGCTCTGTAAAATGGCATTCAAATGTAAGGTATTTGTTCTCAAATTAACATTAATTCCTATTAATAAATTTGCATTATTTCCTCCTGCCTTTTGACAGTAATTGTACTGCCAAATGTTTCCATTTTACAACAGTGCAAAGCCATCTGACTTCTGATTAAATTTTTCCTTAATTTTATATGATTTTCATGCATTCTTCCCGTCTGCATTTTTGAGATCCATTTATCTTTTGTTACATTCCTCGAATTGATTGTTATTTACCCATTTCCCGAAGAGAGAGACCCAGCGAATGCTTTATGGCACCCTAAAGGATTCGCTCTCAAATAATCCATTGCCAAAACGAGGCCATTTCGCGAGGGTACCCAGAACCCTGCCCCAACCATCGGGGGATACAGAGTCCCATAAACGTTAGGAGGCTGCCCTGCCGACTTAGCAGCACTGAATATTTAATGCTCCGGCAATGGGGCAATGGGAAAGAGATCCTGGGTGAATGAGTGATTTCTGCTCCTTTTACGATGAGTAGCGAGAAAGAAACGATTTCGAATGATTATCCATCCCCATTCACAGTATAATGAAAGGAAATGGAAGTGGGAAATGTGTAGCCAAAGGTGGGGTAACACTAAACAGATCGAAGAGCGGCAGGAAATGTGCAAAGTGCCAGGCCGCACGACAACGCCCGTACACCTGCAGGCATTACTCCTTAAAGGCCCAGCGGCTCACACAACTAGGATATAGAGTGTCTAAGTATATAATATATTTTGTAGTATCTATATGGGTCACGACACTGCAATTAGGCGATTAAATTAAACAAAACATACCTTTCCTTCACCAGTTGGCACCTCATCCAGGGGAAATACCGCCTGCTGCCTGCTGCCTGCTGCCGACACGTCGGTGTCCTCTAATGAGCCACAAATGGCAACGTTCTCGTTTTGTTGGTCAATACCCTGGGCATATCCATCCGAACAGTCAACCCAAAAAAAACCCCCTCACAATTAGCAGAGTTTTTTATGCTGTTTGCGATATGCCCGACGTCGGGGGAACTTATGTATTTGATCGATAAATTGTAGGAAAAAACGGCGGCACACTTTTCCTACAGATACTAGATATCTGTGTATATTTATTTATATTTTTTTTATGTGTAGTTTGGTAAATTATTTTTGCACTTGTTCACTTTCTTTTCATTTATATTTTGTTGGTTATTTATAGAAAATGTGAAGTGAAGCCGAAACGCAACGCAGTACAAATTTCTTTTAGATATTTTCACTTGTAGTTTGAAATATTTTAGATTTTTGTGTGAGAATATTTAAAGTTAACTTTTCTACTTTTTTTTTTGGGGTTTTCCAAAATCTTAGGTTTTCGAAAAAAATAACCAAAATTCTCGTGGCACTCGCGATGTGTTGTGGCGCAACTTTACCGTCCGATCCGTGCCAGAGCCGTCGAGTGTTTGATGCGATTCGAATCGTGTCGGCTTTCTGTGTGTTTTCCTTTCGGATTTCGTTGCGGTGCTTTCGCCTGTGACGACATGGAAAAGCTTTGCAACGTCATTGAGAGCTTTTACGTGCACTTTGCTCTCTATCTCTCTCACTCTCTTGTTCGTTCGCTCTCTGCTCTGGCCTCCTTTCTGGCCATTTGATTTGTTTGTATTTTTTCTTTACGACTTTGCCTTGTTTATCTTTAGTGTCCCTCCCTATCCGCCTCCTCCCTTTTCCCCACTGCGGGTGTTTGTTGAGTTCATTTCGTTTCGTTTCCCATTGCCCAGCCTCAATGGAGCAGAAGAGTGTGAGGAGATGGAGATGGCGACCATTTGTGGGTGGCAATAGAAGGCGCTTTGGGGATTGCAACATTTACAGCTATTCTCTTTTTTTTTGGGCCATGTACCAGATGTACCCTAAATGCAAACAGAAGGGTATTTTAGTTGTGCCCTGGACAGCAGAGTAAAGAATAAACTCTGGTATTTGTGAGTATTCCCGAACAGGAGCAGATGTGTCGAAAACTGTCAGTATTTCGGTGTTCATAATCCATATTAGGGGGTATCAAACGTACCTCAAGTTTCTGCCAAAGTTATCCTGGCTCTCTGTGTATTTCTTTTGCTTTATTTTTGCTGCTGTTGTGCTCTCTTCCTCTTTTGTGTTTTTGTTGTTCCGTTGTCCGTTCTGTATGACCCTCTTTTATGAGCACATTGCCAGCCATTGCCGACAGCAGCAGCAGCAGCAGCAGGCAGGCAGCCCCGCGGCAAATATCTAGAACCTCATGACAAGCATTATTTTGACATTTTATTAATGTGTCGATCCGTGGAAATGAATGAAAGGTTTTACCCATTGCTCATGTGTGCTACTTATATTCGAATGCGAATCTATCAATGCTAGAAGTGCACATCTTTGGCATATATTTCTGCTGATGAATGCATTTGCATTGAGTGTGCTTATTATTCACACGAGAAGGTTGCACGGGGTTGGGGGAAATTCCCCTGGAATTAGTCTCAGTCTCTAAATGAAAGGTAGTCCAAAACCAACTCTTCCCTCACTTCATTCTGACCTATTTCCTTTACACCTCATCATTTCGATTGGTAATTACATAAATGGCCAACAGCAAAGGCAGCTCGTGATTTTTGCAACAACTGCAAAATGCAATTAATCTTCAGTCTCGCCGCAGCCAGCCCAAAAACTGTCGAAGACCGCAAACAATCTCTCGCTCAATGCAAACATCAAACATCCACTCCAACCCCACGTTCCCAAACGACGTCATGCGACATGGCAGCAAACGTAAGGTAACGCTTTCAAAATATACGTTTTTTTTTTCTCCTCGGTGACGTTACAATATGTCAAGTTTTATGATGATTGAACGAGCAGCGGGAGAGGAGAGAGTGTGAGATTGCCAGCGCCGGCACAACGAGAATGTTTTTAGTCGACTGAGGGAATGTCCAGCACTGGGACACAGCACTTCACATCTTAATTGCATTTTGCATGATATTATTTAGTCTCAAATGGAAATAATGTAACCCAAGGTGCCAAGAAAGCATCCTCTGAATATGGATTAGAAATTATTATTCCTACTGCGCATATGCCCAGCTGCTTGCCAAGTTTAAGGGGTATCAAAGAGTGTGCACAAAGAGCTAAATGGAATGAAGCATATGGGCCTGAAGAATGCTTGACTAAAGTCAAATACTGTCTGCGATTTGAAGTGTTTTGTGGTTGCTTTTTCCCTTTCTGTGCTTCGTCCTGTATCTAATCATCATTTGTGTGCCAGTTTCTGTTCTGTTTGGTGTGGCATATTATCATAAGACATGATTTATTTATAGAAGCAAAACCAGGTGGCGGCACACAGATACACACACAGACAGACACACTCATCTGCATACACATACAAAGATTGGCGTTGTCCTCGCTCAAGTTCGGTTCAGCTGTCAATTGATTTACTTGACCCACATGGGCCCCAGGCCACGAGCAAAAAAAAACTCCAATTTGGATAGACAGCGGCACACCCACTCACCTTTCAGCGCCTTCATCCTCCCTCTACCCCTGTGTGGCTTGCCGCCTTTTCACCAATCCGATCAATATTTGGCAGATAGCAAAGGGAACCCCCACTGGGGGTAGCGATAGCCGCCAAAAAGGTTTCCCTCGCTGACTTAAAGCTCTGTTTCGTTCCTTTTTTTGTGTGTTGTTTGTCAAGCGCTAAGCTTTTGGCCAATTGTTGCTGCTGGCTGAAACGAATTAGGAAAGAAAGCAAGGCGAAAGGACCCTCAGGTGTTGCTCAATTAAAAGGAAATTCATTTGCACGGATTTCAGCGCAAATGATATTTATGTAAATTTATTTTTGCCACAACTTTTTAATTAACCCAAAAATGTGTTGGACTGAGAGGCGTACAACTTTTGGTGGCAACTGGCCAGGGGTATCCCCAGATGTCTCTTTAATCTGTTTAATCTATGCTAATGAAATGCGGACACCTGTCCGTCTAGGACAGTTGGGGGCGGGTAGGGCCGCTTTTGCTTTCTTCAGCTGTCTGCTGCGGTTTTGCTGCTTTCCTTTTTAGTCTGTTTCCACGCCGCAAACGCTCAATTACTGCCAAAGGCAGCCCAAGGGCTTAGCGAAAGTATCTGCAGGAAGTAGTTGTACGAAAGGAGCAGGGAAAGCCCCGTATAAGTGTGGTGTTTGAGGAGGAAGCTACGCCTAATTCTAAGGTTAAGCTAATGATATGCATGAGTTTGTTTGCCCAACTTTCCATACGAAATAAGTGTGAGCCAAGCAAGCGAGGCAGAGAGGTGGCTTCAGTTTCAGTTACATACAAAGTAGAAGGGATAAAGAATGAGCTCTTGACAGTTGGCTCTCTTTTATATCTTTGAGTTTCTAATATCCAAAATTGATTGCAAAATCTTTGGAAATTCTTATCCCAATTAAATCACTATATCAAACAAGCTGCACCCTTTCATGCACAGCCATCTGTCTGTATCCTTTAACTCTGTCAATTTCTAACGACCCAAACTGAACAAACATCAAGTCTAGGGCATGCGAAATCCCTCCGTGGCCCCACTCGACGCGTTTCGTGGCCCAGAGAGCGAGTGGAAGATAAATTGAGGCTGTAAAAGCAAAACACTTTGCACACTGCCAGGGGGGGGTGTGGATGTGGAAATGGAATGCCAGTGTAAGAGGCCACTTTATCATAAACTCAGACTCAACAGGTTCCTTTCTATCCTACCGAAAGGCGTAGCTTTCGGGCATCGGGGCATCCCCCTTTCGGGCAATTCCCCTTCCGCACGGTGTCTGTGCTGCCATAAAAGTTGCTGCGCTCTGATTGAATAAAAATTTCATTAAACGCACATTTTATAGCAGCTGGAAGGCGTTTTGCAACACGCCCCCCGGGCGAGGACACGCTCTCTCTCTCTCTCTCTCTCCCGCTAAGATCCTAGCATCCCTTGAAGGAGGGGAAGTGGAAGCAAAGGCAGCCTCGCCTTAGGCAGGATTTCGCTTTGTTGCCGTTTATTTTAATTGCCGGCATTAGACGTTCGTTGATAGGCCATAAAAAAGCCGTTGGCTTTTGGTGTGAGCGGAAAAGTCCACAAAGACAAAATGGCGAGACGGATACCCTTCGCCACCCTTCGGAATCCATAGCCATGGCTGATCAGCCAGAGGTATTGCCAGCTTCGTTTCGGCCTTGGAATTGATTTTGGTTTTGGTTTCTCGCTTTCTTTTTTGTTTCAGCCGCGTCGTCGGCTTCAGTTCCGGTTGGTAGCGGTGGACCAGGGGCGTGGATTAAATAGGGTGAAAACGGGGGGTAGGGGGCAAGTGTAGGTGGAAAAGCCAGACGTTGCCTTTCGGTTTTTGCGGTTGTTAAATCGCTTTTATGACGTTTTCTTGGTTGCCGAAAATGTTCGCTCTGCGGTTAACTTTTCCTCCATCGTCCTGCCATCACGCATTCCACCCTTCCTTCGAAGCCCCACCCCGTGGAAGTTTTCAGCATTATTCAACCGACTGCGTTAAGCTTTCGAGTGTTTGGGTAATTTCAGAGATTTATGCAACTTTCTAGAGGCGGAAAAATGAATTAAGCAAGGAGTTGAGTGGCGATGAGTATACTTTATGCTTAAACCTTCTGGGCTTTACCAAACCTACATACAACTAAGCGATTTACCGATTTATATAGCCCCATTTCCATACTTAATCTTTATGAAAAGCCTGCGTGTCGTTCCAAAATGTAGGTACACATTTGAACTTTGCGCCCTTTTGCTTATTATATCGAATAGTCGGTTTCTCATTGTGACACAGTCTGGGCGGTATGAAACATTGTACATTACATGTAGCGCCATCTGGTTTCCTTTTGAGCAACAAGTAAAGCTTTCTTGCCCGTACGATAGGTGGCACCACTTAAGCCATTCAAAACTAGAAAAAACAACACCCAATGCACTCCATGGTATGGGTAGAAATCTAAATGTCATGGCTGCAGTTCGTTTTAGAGTGCAAACACATGCACTATGGCAACACTCCACTTCTATTCCCACTCCTACACCCACACACAAAAAACACTCGTACAATTGTTGGGTAGCAGCTAATTTCGTCTGGACAGAGCGACGGCAATCGCAAAAGGGAGAATAAATGATGGCGACAGGTAAACAGCGCTCTCAGCTTGCTCTCTCAATCATCAACGCTCTTACGCTCAGTTGTTTGCTCTCCGTCTCTCTCTGACTACACCAACTACTCTCTTTGGCTGAGGTGCGCGTCACAGGTAAAATTCAAACGGTGCTTGTAACGTATTTCTGGTCGACTGTCGAAGCCTAATTGCGCAGGTGCAAGAGAGACGTCCGCTGCGTGTCGCTGCCAGAAAGAGATCGCTATACAGACGCAATATAAGCAGACAGACGCGATCATGGCCCAAAGCGAAGCCATGGCCAGTCGGCGTCTCAGTTGCTCACGCGGCTTACCTGTCGACCGACGTTTTTTCCCCAAAGAATAATCCGAGTG